GGTTTGTTATTAACTTTCATATATAATATTAATAATGTGCTTCGATTTACTATCCATATTGCATATTATAAAATAAATAAATAAATTTATTTTTTTTAATATCCATATTTCATATGTAAGTAAATAAATAAATAAATAATTTATTTTTTATTATAAAATATTTATTAATACTAATTGTATATTAGTTAACAATTATCTATAAAATCTTTACATATGAATTAAAAAAAAAATCTAGTATAAGGCGAAAAATTTAATAAATCTCACTTTAAATATAATTAATGATGCAATACACAAGTATTTAAAATTTAATGCAATATGGTATTTTATGGAGTTTTCGATATTCTATTCAATGTTTATAGTACCTGCCGGTATTACCGGTAATACGGGATACTGGTTGTCTGACAGGAGTCACAGGACTACCATCTAAATACCGTTTTGGCTGAAATATCGTTTTATACGGGTTTCATATCGAAAAATACCGGTTTTGTCAAAATCACTGGCCAAAATACTAGTCAAAATATCGATTTCTACCAATTTTTTTAAAAAATTATTTTTGAATTTATTTTATTAATTTATTTATATAAAGTGAAAGCTCTACACTTAATTTTAATATATATACATTCTAGTGAATTTTAGTACTTATTAAAATTACTTTTATACATTATTTATATTTTTATAATAAATTAATTTGATATTTATTAAAATCAGTAAAACCGGACCATGTGCCGGTGACGCGCCTGATATGATTAAAAATACGGTATTTAAAATACAAAACATTTCGACATTTTTGATACATAAAATAGTTTTGTACAATATCAGTGTATTGCATTACACTATTGTTTAATTTGTTAAGAAATTTATGTTTAAAACTAAAATTAATAATAAAAAATGGTTTAATTCTCAAATATTTTTTTTGAATTACTATATTAATTTTTATTTTTGAAATAACATACATCACTAACAAAGATTACCATCTTATATTATAATAATTTTGTTAGATTATATTAGTTGGTAACTTTGTAATTAAATTAATTTAAATAATTTTATTTTAAAATTAATATTAATAGGTAATTTTATTTCTATTGTGAAGATAAATATAATTATTTATTTATTAAATATGATTAATTTAATATATTATGTATAAGAAAACTGATAATAAATAATAAATTTAATAATTTTAAATTTATTTATAATTTAAGTTAGTAAATCTTTCATAATTTAAAAAGAAAGATAATGAAAATGGAAAGATTTAGGAAAAAAAAATTATGCCTTATAAATCAAATCTAAAATAGGAAATGCAATATTAATGCTCTTAAAATGAACCATAATATCTACTATATATATGTATATTTCAAACCTAATCTTTATATCTATATATAAAAAGAATTACAATTTTTTTAAAAATAGTAGGTCAAATTATGGTCAAATCTCAATTAGCATTAATTACATTACATACTTAGTAACTTCTTTTTTTTTTTTTTCCAAAAAAATCAGCATTAAACGCTACCCTAAAATTATGGTATTTGTTACTTTTTTTCAAAAAATCGTGCTACCTTAAAGAAACAATATTACATACTACCATAAATTTTTGGCTAACTAAAGTGTTTTGTTTGAAAAATATTATATTTTAATTAAAACTAATTACGTTGATTTAATCTTGAGATGGTACAACAATTTTTTTTTTTAAAGTGCACCCTAAATTTATATATTTTGTGGATTTAATTTAGGTAAATTTCGACTGATGCAAAAGTCAATTTTCTTTCTCTATTTTTATTAAAAAACTGATTAAAATAAAATCAAGAATTTCGAATTAGGCAAAATACTATCACATATATCTTTTACTAATTGCAACAAATCAATTATTTATTATAAAAATCGGATTGTATAGTCGGCATGACAATTTTGTAAAAGTCAAATATCTTTCATTTTTTTATTAGAAAAATCTGTTTACCATACAATTTAGAATTTTGAATTAGACAAAACACTATAACATGTATCTTTACCTAATTGTAGCAGATCATGTTTATTAAAAAAAATCGGATTACAAAAAAATCGGGCCAAATTTCAAATTAAAATTAAAAATTATTTTATCATTTTGATTACTACTTTCTTTAATTCGGACTTTTATTAAACATAAAACAAAGTCATATAATATTAATTTGAAATTCAAAATGAAATCGGATAGTAACATCCTAAAAATTTGGGTTTTGTTTAATTATCTAAAATACAAATTTAAAATTGATTTCATACACTTACAAAATAAATAATGATTTCATACACTTACAAAATATTGTGTATATTCTGCTAAATTATTTAATCGATTTATTTAAGACTATCTACAATCTTATTATAATTTGTGGCGATAGACGATGTACCAAAAGACCAAACAAATAATTTTGTGTACAATGATGTGTTTAATAATAAATAACGTTACATTGTGTTTCATTTCAATATATGTATTTTACGTTCTTCCAATCATCCAAATTTAACTGCTTACTTTAATAAAACTAGCTCGTGCATCGCACGGGTACCGCACTAGTTATTTTTGGATTGGAGATAAATTAAAACTCATGCAAGTCAAGCATACAAAAATTTACCAATTACGAAACATACTGCCACCTAGACTCAACACGCTGGTGAATTATATAGGGGATGAATTAAAACCCATGCAGGTTCAAGTATTCAAAAATTTACCAATTACGAAGCATACTGCTACCCAGACTCAAACACATGATTGGTGAATTATATATAGGATGAATTAATCAATATTGAACAATATAAAACTATTTAATATAATTATATTTGTGAACATATGATTTAATCTATATATATATAAAAAAAATTAACATTTTTTAAAAATAGTAAGTAAAAAATCCAACAACATTAATTGCATGTTATTTTTGGAAATATTTTGAATTTTTTTAAACAACAAATTGACAATCATTAAATGTAGCCTAAAATTATGGATTTGGAAAACAAACAAACGTAATTATAGCTTCACAAATTTCATACATGTTTCCAAAATTATAGCATTGTGTTATTTGTCTTCTTCTTCTTCTTTTTTTCTTTTTTTTTTTTTATACATGAGTAATCTATCATTTTATAAAAAGAATAACCTTTTTTTTATAAATTTAGGAACAAAATCATTAATTACATACTAAAATAACATAATTAAAAAAGTTTTAACTAAATGCCTATTTGTTTGGAAATAATCCCTATTTATATGGATTCTTTCAAATATTTTTGGTATATATAAAAAAAACTGAGATGAGCAATTTGATTTTCGAAAAAATCAATAGCAATAATTTGGTAGTTATTAGTAAATATTTAGTGCGAATAATTATATGCATACGTAATTTTTTATTAAAGTTAATGTGAAATCAATAATTGATCTAAATCTATTGATTAAAATTTTCAAAATTTTTCAATCAATTATTCTGTTTCTACTTAATTTATTTTTATTTTTATTGATATGGTATCATAAGATTTGAAGAAATATTGGTTAAATCTACATAAACAATTGTCTTAGTCTTCGTTCAATATAAAGTAAATCTCATTTTATTTGTAAAATTGATAAATCTACATAAAGTGTGGAAGTTTTATGTCCACAAAATTTATTTTCACAGTAACTAAAAAATAATAATATTTTTGAAACTTTTGTACTCGAATTATTTAAAAGAATAATAATAATAATTCTGAAAAATTTTATACTCAAATTACTCAAAATAATAATAATAATAATAATTTTAAAATCTTCTATACTCAAATTTTACGGTAGTATCGTCATAACTTTCAGCACCATATCAATATTTATTTTATAATATACTAGGTAAATTTTATTTCATAAACTTTATAATCTATTTATTTAGGCTTATAATATTTTCTCATGTCATATTCAGAAAACATCTTTCATACAAATGTAAACTTTAATATTTTTAGATATTTTCTTTACAAAATAGTTTAGAAAAGTTGTAGGTGACTTCACATCTTTTAATTATAATATAGAAGATTATAGATAATTTTACATATTTTAATACAATATTTTACGAGTTTTAAATTGTTTAAATATACAAATTTTATGTTCTATTGAACAAGATAAGTTTATATAGTTCATAATAAATTGATATACCGTAAATTATATGACATGTTAACCACACATCGTTAATTTATAATTATTATTTAATATCGTTTACCCTCATCTTTAATTTATAATATATTTTCTTGCTCTTTTAAGAGAAGATCAATAGTGGTTCCCCACTTCTTTCATTGGGTGACTCGAACTCGATACTTATTTATAATTATTATTTAATATTGTTTACCCGTGCATCGCACGGGATACACACTAGTAATATTGAATACTAATGAATTGTAAATTGAGCCTCAAGCCCAAATCTGTTCCAATTATACACTAAAACTTTCCAAAAAATTTGTTTCATCATAATTAGTTACACATTCAAACATATTATTTATTTCTAAAAAACAATATACTATCATTAATTCGATCAATTTTATTATGGTTACATACTAAATCTTGAATATATATCCATATATCGATCCTCCTCTTAAAGGAAGTCTTTTGTTCAACGATTTATGTTTCAAGATACATCACAATCTCTAAAATCCTCTTATATACATACACATTACATACATACAATATATATATATATATAATATACAGTATATATATTATTGCATGCAATGCAGTGCATGAGTCCGATTAGAATCCCACTCTTAACAGAATTTGTAATTCCATTAATCTCTCTTTCTCTCTCTAAAATCATATCTCCGGAGAGAATCTCTCACTAGAATTACTCCCGTCGTTTCCTCTTTCTCTCTCAAAAAAAAACCCCTCTCTCCATAAATTATCATAAAACCCCACCGCCATTAATCCTTCAATTTTAAGCTCTCTCTCTCTCTCTGCCCCCAATCACTGCCGCTCCAGATTTTTCCTTTTTTTTTTTCCTTTTTTTATTTGTTCAAATTGTTCGTAACGCTCCGCCATGGACGAGCGCGATCGGTACATCGACAACCTCTTTAACTCCGGCGAAGCCTCGTACGATTTCTACCCCGGCCGCCAAATGGGTTTCCCCGCCGCCGCCGGCAACGGCTACTCCGGCTGGCCGTTCTCCTACCCGTCCCACACCTTCCCATACGACGACGCCGCCGCCGCATCCGGGAACTCCCTCGAGGCCGAATTTGGCCGCTTGAGCATCTCCGGCCGCTCTACCGCCGCCGTTGGCGGCGGAGGCGTCGGCTTCCCCTCCGACATCGGGAGCATGCAGAGGCTGAGGGCTCAATCGGCCGCCAGGGCACAGAATTTGAGCGGGCCGAACTTGTTCCTCGGCCCGGGCATGGGCTCGTACGAAAGCAGCTTGAGCCCATTTAACAACAATCTCAATGGTTTGAACAATCTGAATCAATTCACGCCTAATTACTACGGTAGGGCTAACGGCTCTAGTCTCAGTGGCCTCAACGGGCTGTCCTCTGGTTTTCGCGATTATCTTCCGGGTGAAACCGGGCCATGGAGCCTCCGGCCGGCGTTGGCTAATGGGTTCAGCAGTTCGTCGAGGCGGCTGATTTACACTTCGCTGACCGAGCTGAGAGGGAAAATAGCTCTGGCGGCCCGGGACCAAATCGGGTGCCGATTCTTGCAGAGCAAGTTTGAGGAAGGGAAGCCGGAGGACATTCGATTGATCTTCTCGGAGATTAAAGACAGTATTTGCGATCTCATGGTTGACCAGTTTGGGAATTATCTTGTTCAGAAGTTTTTCAGGGTTTGCAATGAGGATCAGATGACCCAATTGCTCTGTGTGCTGATCAATGATGAGAGGAAGTTCAAAGAAATCTGTACCGATATGCACGGGTATGGCGAAATCTTGGTTTTTATTGAATCTTGGACGTTTTGGGGGTTTTGTTTGTGATTCTTGTTTGGCCTTGTGCAGGACAAGGGCTGTTCAGAAGCTGATCGAGCATCTGACGAATGCCGAGCAGAGGTCTCTGCTTACCTCTGTGTTGAGGAGGATAACTCTCCCTCTTGTGAAGAACAACAATGGCCAACATGTCATTCAGCATTGCTTGAGATACTTCAAGGAGGATAACAAGGTATGGTTTTCGACAGAGGGTTCTTTGTTTTTTTTCACACTAATTTGATATAATGATATGGATTGTGATCTTTTCTTGTTTAATATCATGTTTGTTGTTTGCTTCTTTTTAGGATCTCACTTGTTTGTTGCAATTTGGTGGCTATTTTTGTGCCTGTTGAAGTTATAAAAAACTCTGATTACATACATGTATAGCTAATTGACATGTTACTTAAACAACTATTGTTGTCTGATATCAACATATACTAGTTTTGACCTATACATACTAAGCCCTCAGGTTTTGTTATAGCGCTCGTTTAATTTTAACACGGGCTCGTTTTATCACAGCATATCCTCAATGTAGTAGCTGATAACTGCTTAGATGTAGCCACCGACAAAAGTGGATGTTGTGTGTTGCAACAGTGCCTAACACATTCTTCTGGGGAGCCTCGTGACCGCCTTATGGCACAAATAACATCAAACGCCCTAATTTTGGCCGAACATCCTTACGGGTAAAAGCACGGTTTTTATCTCAAAAACCCATCAACTTGAAGAGAAAAGAACATTTGTTAGGAATTATTGTTATTATTATTATTATTTTTTTTTTTTGGTGTTAGGAATTATGTTGTGCAGTATATACTGGGATTCAAAATGTTGCATGTGACTGCTGATATAATGGCGAGTTTATCTGGGAATTATGTGTCGCTGTCGATGAATAAGTATGGGAGCAATGTTGTGGAGCAATGCCTGAAACAGTCAGAGGGTGATCAAGCGCTTCCCATAATTGAGGAGCTCATTCGGAGCCCCCACTTCTTAAGGGTTCTGTTAGATCCTTATGGCAACTATGTTGCTCAATCTGCACTCATGGTTTCTAAGGTAAAAAATTTAAGTTAATGAGATTAAAACCGGGGCATTTGATGAAACGTTACATGCTTTTTCGACATAATGCATGTGTGACATGATTTTGTTATTTTATTTTGTTAATTTACACATGCATGATCTTCAAAATCAACGACACTAAATATCACTGTCGAACACTAAATATCACTGTCGATTTCTACCAGTTAATCCAAAGTTCGGAATTTTATGCATTCATTCTGTTATTACTGTCATTTTGTCACTTATCAGTTTCCTTTTATGAAAGCAAACTTATGATATAGGACTGAAATATGATTTCCTTGATTCTCATTATTGTGCTGTCACGCACGAGCCCATCAGAAAAAAAGATCCAAAAGTGCATCTATAAAAGTTATGAAAAACTACGTATACGTACGAATCTTACTTCTACTTTTTAATCAATGGTTCGTTACAAACATTTACGGTTACTTAAACTGTTGATTCATTTCGTCAATTCATTTATCATTTATACATATATTTTGGTGATTATTATGAGTTACTTACCAAGTACTTAACAACATTAACAGGGAACAGCTCAACACGCGTTGATGAAGCTTATTCAGTACAATTACGCATCCTTGCACAGTCACCCTCATGGAAAACGAGTTCTCGCGCGTACCAAAGGGATTAAGCTGCGCCCGTGATTCAGCGACGAACATGAAAGGCCTCCCACCCAGCCCTCCCACCGTTCATTTTTTTCCCCTTTTTTTTTGGTGTTGTCAGCTTAAAAATAAGCTTGAAGTTAATCAAACGTTGTTTGTGCATTCTAGGTTAATGTTGTTTGTGGACAATGTAGTATTATGAGTGATTCTTGGATATATGCTTTTTGTTGTGAGAGGCCTTATATGCTGTAGTTTGTATTGAACTATATAGAGTTGTTGGTGGGAGTTGAACTTAAAAATACTTTAGGGTCTATATCTTATCTAATTTTTTGTAAAATAAGTGTGGATCTGCACAGGCATTATCTTTTTCTTCTTTGGGTTATTTTTTATATTTTAGTTTATGTTGTTTTACATTTTTTTTTATTTTATTTTATTTTTGGTTTTATGTTACTTGAAACATGTAGTTTAAGATGTTATTTAATTTGGTGATTCTAAATTAATATGCTTAATTGATTATGTAGAATATATTGGCATGGTTTAGAAAATTGGACCCGATCGTCCGGTCCGACCAGTTGGATCGGGAACCAGGCAATTGACCGGCCTGGTTTGTTGGATGAATCGGTCAACGACCAGTCAGAACCGGCTAAAAATCGGTCCGTTGGATCGGTTTGAACCGGTCCAGTTTTTTTTAATATAAATTTTAATATACTTTTAATATAAATAAAGAAATACATATTTAAATATATTGGATATATATAAGTTAATATTAGTTATTTAACGTATTTGAATGTTTTATTGGCTTAATATTTAATTAACAAAATTTTATATTTAAATTTATTATATAGGATATTATATATGTTTAAAAATATTAATAAATTGAATATCAGTTCAACTTGTTCAACCACTGGTTATACTAGTGAACCATTGAACCAGCCGGTACAATTGGTAAATATAAATCCTCCCTATATATAATTCTCTAATGTGCTGAGTCTAAATGGTAGGCTCGCATGTTTCGAGATCCTATGTGTCAAAATTTCATGCTTTATTATTTGGGTTGGATATATTTTAATCTAGTTCCATACAAAAAATAATTAGGGTCGGATTACCATAAATATGTTGATTTATTTATGATCATTTTAAATATATTAATTGTATTTTAATATCATTTTTTATTATAACTATTGAATTGTAAACGTATTTTAAAAATTGATACCTTTTGTATTTCTTGTCGGTTTCACATCTATAATATATCAAATTAATCATCTTTTGATGAGTTTCGATTTGACATCTATGTTGTATATATAAAATAAAAAAATCATATTTATATTCATAATAATAAACAAATTATTACAATTAATTATAAAAATAAAATTATTTCTCAATTAATATATTTATGTTTAATGTATAGGTTATAAGTAAAAAAATTATTATAATATAACATGGATAAGTCGCATAAGTAACAAATGTCATACTAAAATATATATAATATATTTTTTTTATAAAAAAAATATTTAAATTTTCAACTACTTTTTCTCATTAATTTTAAATTTTAAGAAAAAAAATTAGCAAGCACCCGTGTAATACACGGGCATTGTACTAGTAAATTTAGAAATAGGTATTAAGATTTTTTCTGCACTTTTGTCTTTTATTAAAAATATAACTTTTGAAAAAAAAATAACATTATGTAATTCTTATGGGATACTTAAATTGAAGTATACCAATAATTATTTCTGAATACTACAAATCAAGTATAATTCTTATGGGATACTTAAATTGAAGTATACCAATAATTATTTCTGAATACTACAAATCAAGTATAATGTTATTTTTTTTTTAAATTAATAATCATTTAGCTTTTCATCAAACTTTTAACACAAGCTAAATAATGAGAAGATAATACTTAAATCTATATCCACATCTATGCATTATTGAAGAAATTTATATTATAATAGAAAAAGACCTTTCTCATTTTTTTTCTTTTTTTTTTAGCATTAGTGAATAAATAAATATTTCGATTGTATATAAATCCAACTAATTTTCAAAAAAAGCATCAATAACTTTCAAGTGTTGAATGTCTATTATATTCAACTATTTAATGAAATTTTTGGAAAATGGAATAAATTACTTATTATTTTTTGCTTTACTAATATACAAAACAGTTCTGAAATTTCACCCGATGATTCCAATGATAGCTCTTGTTTGTTAGCATAATTTTCAATGTTAGTCCTAATATTTTAAATTCCACTAATACAAGTCATTGATTAATTCCAATCATATAAATTATATTATTTTTGTCACCTTAATCAATTAACCTACCTTAATTTTTTTTTTTTTTTTTTTTTCTACCCAGAGGTATCCCCATATTCATCCGGGATATTGACGCCGAGCCCAAACCTTCATCCGGCACACCTAAGAAGACTGACTAGCAGTCGAGAGAATGGATCTATATGGGTCAAGCCAACATGTCAGCTTTCCACCAGAGGGTGGGAGTAATCATCTGATGAAAATAGGGAGCCCCATAAATTATAGTATATATTTTTTGGTTACATTAATACAATTTGACCTACCTTAAATACCCCGTTCTTAATTAGTAATTACTCTTCACACCTAATATTTTCAGAGAAAATTTTAATTTAATTTTATCTCTTTCTCTCATAATTTTTAAACCCTGTCCGGTAATCGACCTGATCAGGTCTCCGGGTCATCGGTTCAACCGTCGGGTCACCGGGTCAATTGTTGAACCGGATAACTAATTTTAAAATTTTTAAAATTATATATAAAGTATTTGTGTCATATAAATATACATATGAATAACAAAATTAAATGCTTTCTGTATAATTTGTACATTAAAGTGTTAATAATATGTATCCCATGATAATATTTACCATATAAACATATATGTACATAGTTTTATTTTGACAAAAGAAAAATAAAAAATTAAAATAGCTTGAATTTATATATAAAATAGCTATCGACTACTTTTACCAAATATAACTTATATATAAATGTATATGTACAGGATACGTGCAAATCTCTTATGTAAATGTAGAGTTTCTAAAAGGTTTTATAGTTTCTTAAGCCATCAATTAAATTTGATTTAATAGTATTATTGTTCCGTGGAGTGGTTTTTTTCAAAATGTAAATACTAATACGATTTTTTTATAAATATATGAGAGCTTTATATATATAAAACTCTATTATTATTTTCAAAATAAATATTATCTATATATAGGTTTTTTAATTTTTAACTTTCGATTTTAATTTATTAATAATGTCTAGATACATAACAAAATGAATGAATCAAAAAAATCAAAACGACATTTATAATGAATAGGAGGGAGTACATTAGAATCTTACATATATTGTATTCAACTGCTAAGGATCTGTCTTTATTGGTGATCTCTTGAATAATGCTACTTGTACCCCTTGGTGTACCACTTGGTTTACATCCAAGGGGTACATGTACCCATTTACCCTTAATGAATTATTTACTAAATTATTCATTAAGGGTAAATGGGTACATGTACCCCTTGGATATAAACCAAGTGGTAAACCAAAAGGTACATGTAGCATGATCCTGATCTCTTATATCGAACGGTCTTGTAAAGGCCGAAGCCCACAAACCACTGAGCTTATCCAAACCCCAATAGTGTTCGCTCGAAAGGGTAAATAGAGTATGCCACCTTGTCCTTCGAATTACTATCCATATTGCATATTATCAAATAAATAAAAAAAAATTATTTTTTTAATATCCACATTTCATATGTAAGTAAATAAATAAATAAATAATTTACTTTTTATTAAAACATCTTTATGAATACTAATTTAAAAAACAAAATTGTACATTAGTTAAAAATTATCTATAAATTCTTCATATGAATTAAAAAAAAAAAAATCGAGTATAAGGCAAAAAATTTAAAAAATCTCATTTTAAATATAAATAATGATGCAATACACAAGTATTTAAATTTTAATGCAATATGGTATTTTATGGAGTTTTAGATATTCTATTCAATGTTTATGGTCCGGCTGGTATTACCGGTAATACGAGATACTAGTGGTCTGACAGGACTATCCTCTAATTACTGTTTTGGCTGAAATATTGTTTTATACGGGTTTCATATCGAAAAATACTGGTTTCATAAAAAACACTGGCCAAAATACTAGTCAAAATATCGATTTCTACCGATTTTTTTAAAAAAATTATTTTTAATTTATTTTATTAATTTATTTATATAAAGTGAAAGCTCTACACTTAATTTTAATATATATACATTTTAGTGAATTTTAGTATTTATTAAAATTACTTTTATACATTATTTATATTTTTATAATAAATTAATTTGATATTTATTAAAATCAGTAAAACCGGACCATGTGCCGGTGACGCGTCTGATATGATCAAAAATACGTTATTTAAAATAAAAAAAAAAATCGACTTTTTTATACATAAAATAGTTTTGTACAATATCAGTGTATTGCAATATTACACTATTGTTTAATTTGTTAAGAAATTTATATTTAAAACTAAAATTAATAATAAAAAAATAATTTAATTTTCAAATACTTTATTTTAATGACTATATTACTTTTTATTTTCAAAATAACATACATCACTTAAACAGATTACCATCCTATATTATAATAATTTTGTTAGATTATATTATTTAGTAACTTTGTAATTAAATTAATTTAAATAATTTTATTTTAAAATTAATATTAATAGGCAATTTTATTTTTATTGTGAATATAAAATGAGAAGATAATACTTAAATCTATATCCACATCTATGCATTATTGAAGAAATTTATATTATAATAGAAAAAGACCTTTCTCGTTTTTTTTTTTT